CTGGTGAGAATGTTGATAGAGCCGTTGAAAATAGAGAAACGTGGGTGGAGGGAAATGAACTCCAACCCACGGTTTTTGTAGTTGGAGAAGGGCGTTTAGCGCGCTTCGACGCTGCCAAATATTCGGTACAGGCAGCTTCGCTTTCACAATACACAATTTTGAAAAACACGAATGTGTTTAAAAAATTTAATGTTATTTATCTAGGCTGTAGTGGGGTAGCCACTATAAGGTACAACCCCTTGTTCCTATTTTGTACCAAACTTTCTAGATAGTCTCATTCATTCCTTCGTACCTATCCCAACATCAGCTCCTTGTGGGACAATCCGAAGTTGACGCGTCAACCGCCGTAGACTCGCTAGAGGGAACCTGCGGTAGCTGGTATCGTGGCATTTCCCTGTGAACACAGTTACGACTGTCAATGCTTTGTACACTTTTACAGTGTATAACTGCTTAAAAAAACTTGGTATAGTCAGCCTCGCATCCACAATACACAGCTTTGAGAAGCACTAAGTCTGACAAGATTTCTACGGAGTGGAAACATCTACAGTATCCAATTCGGAAACATGCCTTCTAACAAGGCAGCAAAAATGCAAAATTTTATACATCTGGTTGTAGGCATGGAGTTCCGAGGTTCGCGCGTCTATACCACGGCAGCGGCCTCAGCGCTTACTACCCATTACAGCGCAAAGACGAAGATATGTACAATTACGTCGAAGGTACGCTGGCCATACGAGCTCGCGCCATTCGCGTTCGGGCAGCCCAGTGAAAAACGGATTCATCGGCAACTACTCGCGCCAGGGGAGATGTCGGCAATGCCGGCAACGGGTTACTCGCCTCCGCGCCGCTCTCGATGGATGCAGTTCGCCAGACTGGCCGTGACGTGGCAGCACCAGGTGAATTCCCGAGCGATTGCGAGCTCACGCGCGAGTGCACGTGCGACTGCGACTGCGACCGAATCGGATTATCGACGTCAATGCGGTCCCCGTTCGTGGAATTATCCTCGACGGGACATGACGATGTGCGAAGAGGAGCGACAGGAAAACATATCCGTGGCGAATTAGACCCACTGTTACCAGCACTGGGGGCGCTGCTGCTACACGTGGAACCCACACTGCCGCCAGAACTCGTGCTTAAGCACCCCGTGGTTACCCCTCCCGCGCTCTCCCGCCCCGCGGTTACCCGTTGTGCTGCCTCCACCACTCCAGACGACAGTCGTCGCGTCCTTTCTCCGCGTCTAGCGACGGCGGCGGCGACGTCTGCGAGCTCGTTACCAGACGACGTGGATCGCGCGACGACACCGATGCTGCCGACGGGGAAGGGAACGGCGGCGCTGCTTCTAGGGGAGGAAGAGGAGGAGTAAGCGGAAGCGGAAGCGCCAGCGTTGGCAAGGACCGCGCAGGACTGCGTGCGGAGCAGCGTTGTGCGGAGGCTCTGCGAACACTCCCCGTTTCGCGCAGCCTCCCAGAACAGCAGACGCTGATTGGTGCGCTGAAACGTGGGTTGCTTCCACGCTTGCGATTGGCTGTCCAATGAGCTTTGCCGGCTCGAGTCGCGCGAGACGGGGAAAAGCGCCGAATGCGGCAGCCCGACGAGAGGCGACGCGGCGGGGAAGGAGGGGGCGTCGGCATGAGAAGGAAAGGCGGATGGCGTCATGGGGGAAGAAGCGACCGGGGAGGGGGGGGTTGGGGAGGAAGCGATTAGGGAGGAAGCAGCGGTGTTGGCGTCGGCGGGAATAGTGTCGGCGGGGGGAGTGGTGAAGGAGGACGAGGCGGAGAAAGCGGCGGCGGAAGAGGCGGCGGCGGAAGAGGCGGCGGGGGAAGAGGAGGAGGTGACAGCAGAGAGCGCGTAGATGCGGAGCGAGCGGATGTGGTCGGAGCAGTCGGCGGGGAGCGACGAGGCCTTGAGGAGGGGAAGCGGCGGCATGGCTACAGTCGATAAGTGTGAAGGTACGGAATATGTACTAACGACTTGTGCGTCTCGCCGCGAGCAACTAAATGGTTGTGCCGATTTACAGCAGGGTCACGCTGATGAGCGACTCGGGGTTGCTGGTTGTAACTTCTGTCGCCGTTTGTCTCAAAGTCACGAAACTGAAGCCAGGGGGATCACTGTCGGTATCGTTGCTGTATGGGCCGGACGCAATCGGTAGTTTTGTGGCTCTTACTACACGAGCCTCTTTGGGCTAGCGATTCGATCGAGGCTACTTTGATGCTTTTATGCTCTGAAGCTGAAAGATGCTATTCTGCTTTGCAAGCACTGTCTCGCTAAAAGTGTACCCGACAGAGAAATTGGAACGAAGATAACGGAGCTGCTGGCTCAGGATCACTGGGGATTTAGTACTGTGGCTCTGAGTTGGAAAACGTGAGGGATGGCAGAAATAGGCTCACAGTAGGCGGGTACAGAGGGGGATATCGAACAGCGAGGTAGGAGGCAAGTAAGCAATAAACCGCGGCGAAGGGTGGAAATGAGAAAGGCGGTGTGATTGCTGGTGTGCCAGCTTGCAGCTGGTTCTGTTTCTGACACGCGGGTTGCTGAAATGGTTTGACAGCCTGTTCCGCTGCGACAGCAATAGGCGAGTGCCTGCATCTACACCCTGTGTTCGGATGTACACACATCGATGCGTCCACGATGGTCCCAGAACCTACCATATAAGCACGTATGCCCGCACTCAACCGTACGCCTAAGCAATTTTCCTTTCGGAAACCGTTGTGTACCGTTCACCAGAAGAGCATTTGCCCGTCACCAACCTGCAGTTCGGTTGTAAGCACCAGACCGCTACGTTCCAAGGAACAGTACGCATTGTAGCCAGTGAATCCCATTGCCAGTGTAGCGAGGAAGAGGGTGTACATTGCATCAATTTGGCTGCAGTGTTTGCGGCGATGCAAAGTGCACACAGCAAGGCTTGGGGGGGTTCACACATGGGCAGCGATGGTTCTGAAAGGCAGGGAGGGGTGGGGAGAGACGCCAGCTGCAACCATGTGGTTGCTGCTGTTGCAGTGCTATGGCAGTTCTAGACGTGCGCTGACGTGGCTCCTCCCGCCACGCAACCTCCTGCTTGTGATTCGTAGAGGTTGACGGACGGAAGGGGATGTGGCGGGCGGGAGTGGCGGTTGGGTGGGGGCGGGGAGGGGTGTTGTAACAGTGTTTCAGGTCTTGGCTTGGTTCTTGGCCCTTGGGGGGGGGGAGGTTTGGTGATGGTACAGTGCATAGAAGGCGTGAGTGCTCCGCAAGGCACGGCATGGTCTGGTGTACAGTGAATGGGCTCTACACTTGCGGCGGCGGCATATAAAGATTAAAGTTTCGCCCTCAAACTTTCGCAACCGCCTTGAGAAATTAAAGTTTGGGGTGTGCGCCACCCCTTTCACGAAGGCAGGGTACCTTTTCAATACAGTTTTACGGCTGCCGACCATGGTTAGTTGCGTGCAGTGGGCTGAGTTATATATAAATCAAAGGCGAGACAAATAGGAACAATTATGCAGGGGTGTTTGACCACTGAGAGGGTTGATTTCGAGCGTGTGTTTGTTGACCAGAAAGGCCGTGTTATGGTGATTGTTCTGTGGCCATTCTTTTGCATGTGATTGGTCCATTTCACTTAGTGTCGACGCGCAGGTTGTTTGCCAGAGAAGGGAATGTTCGGGTTCGGTTTTCGTTTGGAACGTCGGGGAGGCATTCAACCACTGGACGATGACGATTTGCCATGCCTCCAGCTGTTTTGGGAGCTCTGTGATTGGAGCACCCCACCCTCCTTTGTCGCACAGTGCAAGACGTTCATACTGTACTGTATCACCAAAGGGATCTCACTCTTTCAAACCCCATGCAGCACTGTTGCTTAAACGTGGGCATCATTCAAGACGACGGCGTGTTGTCCCGGTCCCAGTCAGACGCCCAGGAAGGCACCCTATTCTCAATAATTGCACACCCCCTACCTGCTATTTCGAAGGTACCCTGTACGTTTTCTGGCTCGATGTGACGGACACCCAAAGATTGACGAGGGTGGTTATCGAGTCTAGCACTTAATTTTCCGAGTGAGTAGTAGGGGTGGATGGCTGCCCTTGGAACTCCGGGTTCTTTTCTTCCATTCGCGAGAAGGTTGCGAGACCCTCTCCTCCGATAGTGTACAATCGTTGCTTGCTACCCTACTTAAACGTTTAACCGAGAGTATTTACCACAGGGTGTGCGCTTAAGGGGTGTGAAATGATCGAGAATAGACGATCGTCGGCCGTCGAAAATGCAGGAGGGGGCCTTTGAAGGTTCTGGGACTCCTTCCTGAGCTGCTCGAGATTTTGCCCGTTTTTTCACGAACCTGAGCATTTTCGCCGTTACCGTCACGGTTCAGGCCTAAAGTTTTGAAACGAGGTTCGAAACGAGGTGTACTTTTGGCGAAAAATGTTTGTTCCTAAGTGAAGTCACAGAACTGATAGATGCTTGGACGAACTACTATGTTATCCTAAAAGAGGGGGAGGGAGGAAGGTGGTGAGGTGTACAGGAGAACAGGTTAGTGGGAGGGTCCTTCGAACCAGACCAACACTTGGATTCAGGGGAAGGGCCCATTGGAGAACTAGAGGAGAACGACTGAAACCCCTAGTGCTCACGGGGGACATGCGAAACCAGAACATTAAATGGACTGGTACGACGAAAGTAAGCCGGAAAGTTCAGGGCCTTCACGAAAATACCCTTGCTTCTACAGGTCTGGAGGGGGGGTGGAACGCAACTGCAAGCAATGACCTTTGAAATTGGACTCGCTACGAACGTCTCCATCTAATCTTAATGTGTACCGGACCGTGTAGGGACTCAAGTTCCAGGTACTTAGCAAGCATTCCAATACATACCCGCGCATTCATCACATTCAATTCAAGTTGTGCAGAAAGCATGAATCACCCACTTACATTGCAACCTGTGCTTTTCTCGACAGCTAGGCAGCAAGGCCATATGATGCACGTTAGTCAGCCAACGTTCTCCTACTTTTAATATTCTCGCTGTTCGCCGTCCTCCGTTTCGGTCTAATGTTGCGCCGCTTCCGATTCGGTCGACTTGGATCGCTCCCCATCCAGCCACACGCCGCCCTCTCGCGCCTCTTTCAACTACGAAATGCTCCGCTCACATCCCTGCGCGCCCTTCCACGGGAGCCACCGCGCGCATGTCCCTATGATGCGCGTCCGCGCCACTTCACGGTGGTGGCGGGGCGGCGGAACCACGGGGGAGGCGCGATGAAGCAGCGCCCAAAGGACTGGCGCCCGCAGTCCACCCCCTTCCACGCGCGCAACCGCAGCCCCCGGCGGAACGACCGAGCCGTTCCGCTGGGCCCGCGGGGCGGAAACGGGGGCGATGGCGGAGACGGTTCCGCGGAGAGCGCAGGGCGGATGCAGCGCGATGTGGCGGATCTGGGCGCGGATTGGCGGCTGGGACCGGGGGAAGCCGTGGGGAGAGTCATGTCCGCTCAGGCTAACTTCGTACGCGTGATTGTAACGAGATGCGGTGTAGAAGGCGGGGGAGAGGTCATCGAGGAGCGAGGAGAGGAGTCGGACCGAGGCAGTAACGGTCAATCACCCCAAGGTGGGATGTTACGAAACTACGGCGAGTAGAGCAGAAACCCGAAACCCTTCCCAACTGTTCTCGTCTCTTAGAAAAGCAGAAACCCTGAACCCTCCCCGACCCCCTCCCCATGCCCTTGCCTTTCTTTCCCCAAAACGCCAAACCCCCAAACCGCGAACCCCTCGCCCCTGCCCCCGCACACCCCCTCTCCCTCCCGCTTTTCCCACCCCAAACAGAACCACAATTCCTTCAGCCCCTCACGCCTACCATAAACCTCTCTTAAACTCCCTCCCCACCTCCAAAGGGCGAACTACGAAATTCGAAATTCCCAGACAGTAACAGTCACTACAATTCGCATCGTAACTTATCCATCCTCTGCTTGTGGATGCCACACGAAGTGGCTTCTCAGTGGACTCAAAAGCCAACTCTGCGAGTGGCACCGTAGACCATAACGCATGCCGCCCCTGCCAACTGTGCCCTCTCACCCCCGCCTCTCCATGCCACCCTCTCATCGGTGCAGGTGGGGGAGGAGCGGCTTCAAGGGGCGCAGCGGAGCAGCAAGGAGGGGAGCAGAGGCGGCAGGGGGAGGGTACGGAAAGAAGGGAGGGGAGAGAGGAGGAGAGGGAGGGGGTTGAGTTGCTGTGTGTGGTGCGAGCACTACTTAAGAAACTCAGGAGGAGGGTTTTAGTAGGGGACGTTGTAAGGCTAGGTGGGATTGATTGGGCTGCCCGCCAGGCTGTCGTTCAAGACGTTGCCCTGCCCCGGGCATCTGAAATTTTGGACCCGCCCGTGGCGAACGCGGACCACCTGCTGCTGCTTTTTTCGCTTGCCCAGCCGCCGCCCGAGCCGTCGAACGTGAGCCGGTTTCTGGTGGCTGCGGAGGCGACAGGTGTCGCCGTGTCATTGGTGTTCAACAAGGCGGATCTAGTGGATGAGGAGGTGAGGCTTGATGGTTGGTATTTGAGGCTGAGATTTGTCTAAGCTGACTGTGTGTGTAAGTGTGTGCACCACTAGCCCTCCCTCAACCCCCTTCCCCTCTCTTCCCCCGCTCCTCCTGGTATTTTCTAGTTATTTCCTCTCCTCCTCCTTCGCCTCTTTTTTGTTTTCCCTAAACCCTAAACCTCCCCCGTTCTACCCTCCCTCCCATCAGGCAGTGCGGGAGTGGCAGCAGCGAGCAGCAGAGTGGACTTACCAGATGCTTACATGCCGTGCTTACATGCCGTGCTTACATGCCGTGCTTACATGCCGTGCTTACATGCCGTGCTTACGTCCTGTAAGCTAACTCCCCCTCGATTTCCCCCCTCCAACCGGCTCCCCTCCTTCCTCACTCCCCTCCCTCTTCTTCCTCCCATCAGGTAGTGCGGGAGTGGCAGCAGCAGGCAGCAGAGTGGGGCTATCGGATGCCCACATGCGGTGCATATTGTGGCAGCAGCAGCCCATTTCCCTCTCACCTCCTCTCACTCCCCTCCCTCTCCTTCCTCCCATCAGGTAGTGCGGGAGTGGCAGCAGCAGGTTTCATGGTGGGGTTACCAGATGCTAATAGGTGGAGCTTCTTGAAAGGAACCCACTCCCTCTCCCACTCTCACTCCCCTCCCTCCTCCCCCACCCATCAGGAAGTGCGGGAGTGGCAGCAGCGGGCGGCAGAGTGGGGTTACCAGATGCTCACATGCAGTGTGGAGCGGCGGATCGGAATCCGCCACCTGGCAGGCCCGGGAGGCCTCTTGGCTGGGCGCACTACAGTGATTGCCGGGCCGAGCGGGGTCGGCAAGTCCAGCCTTATAAACGCTGTTTTAGGAGAGGCTTATAAAGGGGACGCTTATAATGGGGAGGTTTGTGATGCGGATGTCTTGAAGGAGGGAGGCGAGGGAGAAGGTGGAGAGGCTAAATTTGAAGAGTTGAGGGTCGGGGAGGTTTCAAAACGGAGTGGGAGGGGGCGACACACAACACGACACGTGGCTCTTGTGAAAATACCAGATTTGACCATACAGGGAGAGGATAGACCAGATGTGACTATAGAAGGAGGCGCTACCTCAATGGCACAGGATGTGATTATACAGCGAGGCATGACGAAGCAACCAGTGGATGGAGATTTTGAGGTGCCTCAAAAGTTAATTGTAGAGGGAGACCCGAGGCAAGGAGTGGAGGGAGTGAGAGTACAGGAAGAGGATGCAGTTTACAGTCACAGCAGCAGTACTACCAACAGCAGTAGTAGTAACATGACTAACAGTTATAGCAGTAGCAGCAACGATCTAATCAGCAGCAGCAGCAGCAGCAGTGGCGGGTTGCTAGCAGATTCACCGGGGTTCAGCCAGCCTTCCCTTGCCAATGTCTCCGCCTCTGATCTTCCCATGCTCTTTCCTGAGGTACCCTTCTGATTTGATTTTTTTCTCCATATGATAACCTCCCAATAGTTTGACTCAATTGTTTTCTCCTCCCACCTTCCCATTCTCTTTCCCGAGGTACTGCCATTTTGCATGTCTCTATTCTTTCCTCCTTCCCTTCTGCTCCCATCCCTAGCCTTCTCTCTGCCCATCCTTCTCTCTCTCGCATACTTTTCTCTCGCCCATCCTTCTCCTTCCTCCTTTTTCCCCTGTCCCATCCTTCTCGCTCGCCCGTCCTTCTCCCCTCCCTTCACCCCTCTCCTCCCCTTCCTCTTCCTCCTTGTCTCCAAACGTGCCCTTTGAAGTTTGCACTGTGATCCCTTCAGAAATTCGTGCACGCCCCGCCACAACCCCTACCACCTGTGCATTTGATGATGATTCCCTCTTTTTTTCCCCCTTATTCTTCCCCCCTGCCTCTTTGCACTCCATCCAGATTTTTCAACAACACAGATTCGTTCCCGTCTAGCTGCCTCCCCCACCTCCTGCGCATTCAATGGTTCCCTCCTTCCCCCCTTCCCCCCTTCCCTTTTCGTCCTCTCTGCCCCTTTGAACTCCGTCTCATTCTCCCAACAACACAGATTCGTTCCCGTCTAGCTGCCTCCCCCACCTCCTGCGCATTCGCCGACTGCCGCCACATCAGCGAGCCCGGGTGTGCGGTGGACAGCGGTTGGGAGCGGTACCGGCACTACGTGATGCTGATGGACGAAATCAGAGCGCGGGAAGCAGCTGAAATCCGGGCCGTTGGTACCAAGAGGGAGGGGGATGTGAGGTTGAAGAGTGGGGGGTATGGGGTGGTGGTGGCAGAACCGAGACTAGAAGCAAAGAAGCACCGAAGGGAATCGAGGAAGAAAGGGAAGCAGCTGCTGCTGCAACAACTGGCTGTGGAGGAAGAGGAGGATGAGGAGGAGGAAGGTGTGGGGTTTGCAGGGGGATATGAGGGGGTTGTAAAGAGGCGGTGAGAGTGATGCCCTTTTTTGTTATCTGAGAGTCAGGGCGAGTCTGGGAGAAGGGTGTATTTTGAGGAGTCTGGAAAGAATCTCTGGGTGGGTGGGGCTAGTGAGGGAGTCCAGAAGGAAAGGAAAGCAGCTGCTGCTGCAGTAACTGGCCACTGAGGAAGGAGGATGGGGAGGAGGCCGTTTGCAGGGAGGGTGCAAAGGGATTGAGATGCGGTGAGAGTGGGAGGAGGCCGTTTGCAGGGAGGGTGCAAAGGGATTGAGATGCGGTGAGAGTGGCCGTTTAGGGAGTCGAGGGTAGACTGACCACCAGCGCAGCGGCTTGGGATTCGTAACACATGCTGAACCTGCTGAGTTCATTAGTGTTTGAGAGAGATTAGCCTCAAGTTGAATGTGTTGGGGCGCCTTGGGCTAAGATGTACGGTACAGTGTACTGTTCATGGAAGAAAGCTTGGTTATACAGGTGCGCAATGGTATAATGCTGTGAAAACCCGTCAAACAAACCCAGGACGAAAATGCATGACCCCCGGCCAAACAAGCAAGCCAGCGATTGTTATTCATAGGAGACATCCATGTGCTGGCGTGCCAATCAAGTTGGGGTTTTTATATGAATACCATAAATGGGATTTTGCATGTGAAATGCTATGTACAATGATAAGAAACTGAGTTCAACACAATACTCCTTGATGCCATTCAGTCCTGTAGCGAACAACATCGTGTGGTTATCATTGACCAAAAAGTGGTGTAGATTCGATGCTGTTGCCATTGCCAGGACTCACCGATCTTTTCCGCCCTTGAATCATTGGGCTGACGATACTACTAGTGCCAATGTCACCAGTAGTGGGACTGGTGGTGGCATTTGTGGTGGGGTTGGTGGTGCTGTGGAGGTGAGCTTAGGAGGAGGAGGGAGAGGAGGAGTTGGAGTGGAGGATGGGTTGAACAGCTTGGTTGTTCTGAGAGGGAGGAACCACCAGGGTTGCACCTGAAGAGGTTGAGAGTGTGGGAGGGGATTCGGAAGGAAGGTAAGCAAGATGAAGCATGCAGAGGAGAGATGGTGAAGGGGGTTAAGGAAGAGGTGGAGCAGCAGAGTATCGGTTGAATGGTCTGGTTGTAGTGGGAGGGGGGCAGCACCACAACCAGTGTTTTGAGACGTCTCAAAGAGGCAGGGGAGTAGAGTATCGGTTGAATGGCCTGGTTGTGGTGAAAGAAAGAAGCACCACCAGGGTTAGGGAGACAAAGGGAGAGAGTCAATTGGGGAAAGGGGAGAGGGGGGACAAGGGGGACTGGGGAAAAGGGGGAATGGGGAAAGGGGAGAGGGGTTACCGTGAGCCCATAAGGCAGCGGCAGGCAGCAGCACGGCAGTGAATATCCCCATGCTGATGCGCCAGTTGCCCACCATGTCCTGTGCGCATGGGATGGATGGAGGACAGAAACGAGGCAGAGGACGGGAAAGGGTTGTGAGGAGGTGGGAAAGGGTTGTGAGGAGGCATGGGAGGGTTGAAATAGCAAAGTTCATAGTAAGAGCAGCAGCAGGCGTGATAGGTTGGCAACGTGATTTGGCATTTTTTCCTCACACCGTGCATGGGAAGGCTGGTGGGAGAGGGGACAGTTAATTGCAAAATACCACACGACAGGGTGAGAGAAGGAAGGCGAGAGGGGAAGGTTGAGAGAAGGAGGGTGAGATGAGGTTGCGGGTGCGTACCTGAAGAAACACCTGAAGGAGAAATGTGGATGGTGGCACCTGAAAAAACACCTGCTGATACACCTGAGGGAGAAAGGCACCTGGAGGAGGCCGAGGATGGGCGGCGAGGGTACGTCCCCTAGCAGGTGAGCAACGACGGTTGCAGCGGCTATTGCAAGGGCTCTTAGGTTGGATGGCACACACTGCAGTGACACTATGTTGGCTGGACCCTGGTGGGGTGGGGGAGGGGGCATGGAGAGATAAGGGACAGTATAAGATGAGACAAGAGACATGGCCACGATAGCAGCGGCTATTGCAAGGGCTCTTAGGTTGGATGGCACGCACTGCAGTGACACTATGTTGGCTGGACCCTGGTGGGGAGAGGAGAGAGAGGGAGAGACCCAAAGGGCGCAACGCGCACAAAGGGAGACCCAAAGGGCGCAACGCGCACAAAGGGAGACCCAAAGGGCGCAACGCGCACAAAGGGAGACCCAAAGGGCGCAACGCGCACAAAGGGAGACCCAAAGGGCGCAACGCGCACAAAGGGAGACCCAAAGGGCGCAACGCGCACAAAGGGAGACCCAAAGGGCGCAACGCGCACAAAGGGAGACCCAAAGGGCGCAACGCACACAAAGGGAGACCCAAAGGGCGCAACGCGCACAAAGGGAGACCCAAAGGGCGCAACGCGCACAAAGGGAGACCCAAAGGGCGCAACGCGCACAAAGGGAGACCCAAAGGGCGCAACGCGCACAAAGGGAGACCCAAAGGGCGCAACGCGCACAAAGGGAGACCCAAAGGGCGCAACGCGCACAAAGGGAGACCCAAAGGGCGCAACGCGCACAAAGGGAGACCCAAAGGGCGCAACGCGCACAAAGGGAGACCCAAAGGGCGCAACGCGCACAAAGGGAGACCCAAAGGGCGCAACGCGCACAAAGGGAGACCCAAAGGGCGCAACGCGCACAAAGGGAGACCCAAAGGGCGCAACGCGCACAAAGGGAGACCCAAAGGGCGCAACGCGCACAAAGGGAGACCCAAAGGGCGCAACGCGCACAAAGGGAGACCCAAAGGGCGCAACGCGCACAAAGGGAGACCCAAAGGGCGCAACGCGCACAAAGGGAGACCCAAAGGGCGCAACGCGCACAAAGGGAGACCCAAAGGGCGCAACGCGCACAAAGGGAGACCCAAAGGGCGCAACGCGCACAAAGGGAGACCCAAAGGGCGCAACGCGCACAAAGGGAGACCCAAAGGGCGCAACGCGCACAAAGGGAGACCCAAAGGGCGCAACGCGCACAAAGGGAGACCCAAAGGGCGCAACGCGCACAAAGGGAGACCCAAAGGGCGCAACGCGCACAAAGGGAGACCCAAAGGGCGCAACGCGCACAAAGGGAGACCCAAAGGGCGCAACGCGCACAAAGGGAGACCCAAAGGGCGCAACGCGCACAAAGGGAGACCCAAAGGGCGCAACGCGCACAAAGGGAGACCCAAAGGGCGCAACGCGCACAAAGGGAGACCCAAAGGGCGCAACGCGCACAAAGGGAGACCCAAAGGGCGCAACGCGCACAAAGGGAGACCCAAAGGGCGCAACGCGCACAAAGGGAGACCCAAAGGGCGCAACGCGCACAAAGGGAGACCCAAAGGGCGCAACGCGCACAAAGGGAGACCCAAAGGGCGCAACGCGCACAAAGGGAGACCCAAAGGGCGCAACGCGCACAAAGGGAGACCCAAAGAGAACGAAGAGGGAGTTGCGTGGCAAGGCGAAGGCGATGACGACCATCACCTGGTTACCAGCTGTGTGGTTACCAACTTGCTGGTTACTGACTGGTTACCAGCAGTACCTGGACGGCGAGGATGAAGAAATTCCCTCAGGAGTCATGGAGAGGACGAAGAGGGCGAAGTGTGGAGAGGTTACCACCTTGCTACATTCTTACCAGATTTCGGGTTTACCACCTGGTTACCAGCTGGTTACCTGGATGGCGAAGATGAAGAACTCCCCGACAGCCATGAAGACGACAAAGAGAGTGATGTGTGGCGAGGCGAAGGCAAGGAGGCAGAAAATAGCTCCCACCACTGTCACCTGGGATTGCAGCTGATGGAGAGGAGAGGCATAGCAAGGCGGGGGGGGTGGGGGGGGAGGGAGAGGGACAAGGACAAGGAGCACAAAAGGAGGGATGGAGAGGGAGGCGAAGGTGAGGAGGTAGAAGACTGCTTTCACCACTGTCACACGGGATTGCAACTGAAGGGTGGGGGAAAACGGGGGAGGAGGGCATGGGAAGGAGAGGGAGAGTGAGGGCATGAAGAACGAAAAGGTAAAAGAGGGCGATGGATCAAGAGGCGAAGGCGAGCAGACAGAATACTGCTCCCACCACTGTTACACAGAGCACACCAGCAGTGCGTTGGGGATGGTTGCACCCGCGCGGTCGAGCATAGGACCGCCAAACAGCATTTTTGAGACGTCTCAAAAGCATAGGACCGCCAAACAGCATGCCGCCCCTCTGTGCCCGCCACCACCCGCCATGAGGCTGCCAAACAGCGTCGGTGACTCTGGTGGTGCTTAGGCAGAGGGAGCAGCTGGCCGAGCCTAGCGGCATATACACACACACCAGCAGCGCGTTGGGAATGGTTGCACCCATGCGGTCGAGCATAAGACCACCGAACAACGCCCTCCCCACGCCAGTCACAACCGTCATGCTCAAATGCATGCGTGCATACCACACACACCACACAACCTACCAGCAGCGCGTTGGGAATGGTGGCACCCATGCGGTCCAGCATGAGACCGCCAAACAGCGTGCCGCCAATCCCAGTGACCACCGAGATGCCTCCAAACAGCGCTGGGGACTACGACGGTGCTAACACACATACACAGGCCGAGCCTATGTGCATACACACAGCACAGCATACCAGCAGTGCGTTGGGAATGGTTGCACCCATGCGGTCCAACATGAGACCTCCAGACAGCGTGCCGCCCACGCCAGTGACCACCGTGATGCCTCCAAACAGCGCATCCGCCCTCTCCTCATTGAAGATTTCCCTCATTGCCTTGGGTGCCCAATAAGCGTAGGCACCAATCACAAAGGTGTAGGCCGCATAGCCTGGGGGAGAGGAAAGGGAAGCACGGACAGGGAGCGAGGTGGGGGAATGGAGCAAAGGGAGGGTCGCCTTGTGGGGTGCCTGCCCTCCCCAACAGAACATCCGCCCTCTCCCTCAGAGCCTCCCTCTGAGGGTGAAAGATCTCCCTCAGTGCCTTGGGCGCCCAGTAGGCATAGGCGCCAATCACAAAGGTGTATGCCGCATAGCCTGGGGGTGAAGGGAAGTAGAGACAAGGCCGGAGTGCGAGTGAGGTGCCTGCCTCCCACCCACCCCAACAGTGCATCCGCCCTCTCCTCGTCGAATATCTCCCGCATGGCCTTGGGTGCCCAGAACGCATATGGTCCGATCACGAATGTATAGGCAGCATAACCTGGAATGTGGGAAGAGAAGGGAAGGGAATGGGAAGGAATGGGAATAAAAGAACCCTCCCTTGGTGCCAGGGACCTCCAATACACTTAGCTGCTGCCGAGTGCCCAGAGGCACTTGCATACACCGCAACGGTGACTGTTGAGTCGACTTGAATCGAAAGTTGTCCAATAGGCTTAGGCGCTCACTAGAAAGCAAGCACATATGCTGACACACGGCCTTATGCTATTGAACATCCCATCTCCCACACTGCCTCACAATACCCCACCATGCTTCACCACACCCCACCAAACCTCACCACACCGCACTGCATCTCACAGCACCCATGGTGTTCTATCAAGAGCACCTTCTAAAACTCATGCCATACCGCACTGCACCGCTCAAAACCCATCGTACCGAGCACATTGATGGTGAAGATGTCGTTGCGAGCGAGGGAAAGCGAGTCGTCCAACAGAGACCCATCGCTGTGCTTTTGGACTGCTGAGATCACAGGCTCAGCATGCAGCACCCATCCCAAGCACACCTTCTGTAAATCGCGCTGTACCGCACTGCACCACACAAAACCCATCATACCGAGAACATTGATGGTGAAAACTTCATTGCCAGCGAGAGAAAGCGAGTCATCCAGCAGAGACCTATCGCCATGCTTCAAATTTGGAGTCGCCTCAACATGTGACGGCGCTGCCAGAGATGGCGCACCCTCCGCCCTCTCCTCGTCAGAAGCAGCGGTAGCAATACCATGGGCGTGTGTCCTGCCTGTCCATGAGCACAGAAAGGGAAATAAGCGCTTGGAAAAGTTTGAGTCGCCTCACCGCCTCACCGGGAAATAAGTGGCTGACATGCGTCCTGCGTGCCCATGATACAGGAACGTCGCAAGAAGAAGCAGACCCCCATCGCCATGCTTGCACTGTAAAGTCGCCTCAAAATGCCTCGCCTTTAAGTGGCAGAGGGGCAGCAGTAGCAGTGCACAGCGCAGAGGGAACCATAAATACTGCCCCAGGAAAAAAGGCCCCAGCAGCTGTACACTGCTGCTGCTGTAGGGAAGAGATAGACCAAGGCGAAGCCGACCGGAATGCAGAGGTAGAAGAGAGAGATAGAGAGCAAGGGAAGCAGAGCAACGAGTCACCTTTGAGGAGGGGAGGGGCAGCAGTGGCAGTGTAGACCACGAACGGCAGCATGAAAACAGCTTCCAGCAGAAACGCTCCCCTCCAGCCCAGCAGCGGACCAGCCACCCCCCCGTAGAGGTAGCCGAGGGCACAGCCGACCGGAATGCAGAGGTAGAAGGTGAGGCAGTGAGGAGTGAGGCGAGAAATTACCTTTGAGGGGCGGAGGGGCAGCAGTGGCAGTGTAGAGCACAAACGGCAGCATGAACAGAGCTTCCAGCAGAAACGCTCCCCTCCAGCCCAGCAGCGGGCCAGCCACCCCTCCATAAAGGTAGCCGAGGGCAAAGCCGACCGGAATGCAGAGGTAGAATGTGGCGAGCCATTGGGCTGTCTTGGCCGGTGGGGCGTTGTCGTCTATGAAGGGCGCTGCTAGACTGATGAAGGACGCCTCTCCTACACCTACGAGCCTGTTGCATGAAGGGAGGAGACAGGGCGACAGGCACAAGGGATGAAGGAACAAGGGAGGAAGGAACAAGGGATGAAGGAACAAGGGAGGAAGGAACAAGGGAGGAAGGAACAAGGGATGAAGGAACAAGGGAGGAAGGAACAAGGGAGGAAGGAACAAGGGAGGAAGGAACAAGGGATGAAGGAACAAGGGAGGAAGGAACAAAGGAGGAAGGAACAAGGGATGAAGGAACAAGGGAGGAAGGAACAAGGGAGGAAGGAACAGGACATTGTTGTGATTTGTGGAAGGAGGGATGCAGAGGTAGAATGTGGCGAGTTGTCCATGAAGTCTATGAAGGGAGGGCGCTGCTAGACTGATGAACGAGGCCTCCCCCACCCCCACTAGCCTGAGGGGTGAAAGGGACAAAGGGACGAAAAGGAGATGGAGAAAAGTGGACGAAAAGGAGATGGAGAAAGGGAGGGAATAAGGGGAAGAAAAAGGGGAGAAAACGGGCAAGAAAAAGGGGAACGAGAATGGTGTTGCCAGGCATGTAAATGAGGCCTCTCCCGCTCCCGCTCCCACTGAAGACTGAGACAGGGCAATGAAGGGAGGTGGCAGGCTGGAGCGAGGCGGTGAGGAGATCCGTGAGGAAGGGGATGGGAGCGTGGGAGCACAAGAGAGGGTAGAAGGGGAGGCCGAAACGCGTACGCCTACTTAGTTCTCTTACATTGAGACTTATCAAGTCCTCATTCATGCCTTTTTCCTAGTCCTACGAAGCAACCCACCCATTACACTTAGCTAAAAAGGTTTTTTCAACGGCGACCACACGGCTTGCTGCGTTTCGAATCCTTACTTCGCAAGGGGATGGGAGCGTGGGATCACAAGAGAGAGTAGAAGGGGAGGAGACCAGGCGGGACGGCATGGAAAGGGAGAAGGGGGGAGGGGAAGGCATGATTGCATGTGGCAGAGGAGGAGGAGAAAGGGGTTGCGGCAATCGGATGCATAGTCAACAAGAAGTGAGCAAGGAGGAAGTGGAAGAGAGAAACGGGTAGGAAGAGAGTGTGGGAGAGACAAAGGGGACGAGAGGTGAGGAGAGCACTCACATCCGGCAGAGAAGCAGGGAGAGCAGGCCGGGGGAGAGGCCACAGCCAGCCACTGCGAGCGTCCAGACGAGCAGGCCGAGAGCGATTAGGCGGAAGGGGTTGTGGCGCTTGGATGCATGTGCGAAGAGAGGCGAGGCGGTGAGGAGTCCCACTAGGAAGGCCGTGGCGAGTAGACCGTCCTGGAAGTTGGTGAGAGCGAAATCACCCCTGGTTCGGAGGGGTTCAGAGGGGTTGGGTGTGGTTAGATTTGATTATACACCGATGGGTTAGGCCATCAGCCCGTCCTGGGAGCTTGGAGGCATGTGCGAAGAGAGGCGAGGCGGTGAGGAGTCCCACTAGGAAGGCCGCCGTGGCGAGTAGACCGTCCTCAAAGTTGGAGAGGGCGAAGTCGCCCTTGGTTTGGAGGGGTTGAGAGGGGTTGAATGTGGTTGGAATAAGTTAAACAGTATTGGGGGAAGGGGTTGTGGCGCTTGGAGGCATGTGCGAAGAGAGGCGATGCGGTGAGGAGGCCGACTAGGAAGGCCGTGGCGAGTAGACCGTCCTGGAAGTTGGTGAGAGCGAAGTCGCCCCTGGTTCAGAGGGGTTGAGAGGGGATGGTTGTGGTTGGAATAAGTTAAGCAGTATTGGGGGACGGGGTTTGCGGCGCTTGGAGGCATGGGCAAAGAGCGGCGAGGCAGTGAGGAGACCCACTAGAAAGGCCGTGGCTAGTAGCCCGTCTGGAAGTTGGAGAGAGAGAAATGGAGAGAGGGGTTGAGAGGGTTTGAATGTGGTTGGAGTAAGTTAAACACCAAATGGTAGGTCACACACAGCCCGCTAGGAAAGTCGTTGCTATTAGCCCATCTGTGTGTCTTCATTAATGTTCCTGACTCATAATTCTGAGGAGCCTCGAACCACGAGACAAGAGACGCCTTTTGAGGCGCCTTAAAGGTCGCCTCAAATGACACTGGAGCAGCCAATTGATGAGGAGACACTGGGCATCACACCGCACAGCAGTTGCCCCCACCAGACCAGCCACTCACTGAATGCGAGGGAGAGCCGTTGATGACCCACAGTGCAACCACGCGGTAACTCTGAGAAGGCCATTCACTTACTGCCAAAGCCAAGTAACAATGAGAACTACTCATCAACTGCCCCCACCACTCACTGAATGCCCCCACCACTCACTGAATGCCCCCACCACTCACTGAATGCCCCCACCACTCACTGAATGCCCCCACCACCCACTGAATGCCCCCACCACTCACTGAATGCCCCCACCACTCACTGAATGCCCCCACCACTCACTGAATGCCCCCACCACTCACTGAATGCCCCCACCACTCACTGAATGCCCCCACCACTCACTGAATGCCCCCACCACTCACTGAATGCCCCCACCACTCACTGAATGCCCCCACCACTCACTGAATGCCCCCACCACTCACTGAATGCCCCCACCACTCACTGAATGCCCCCACCACTCACTGAATGCCCCCACCACTCACTGAATGCCCCCACCACTCACTGAATGCCCCCACCACTCACTGAATGCCCCCACCACTCACTGAATGCCCCCACCACTCACTGAATGCCCCCACCACTCACTGAATGCCCCCACCACTCACTGAATGCCCCCACCACTCACTGAATGCCCCCACCACTCACTGAATGCCCCCACCACTCACTGAATGCCCCCACCACTCACTGAATGCCCCCACCACTCACTGAATGCCCCCACCACTCACTGAATGCCCCCACCACTCACTGAATGCCCCCACCACTCACTGAATGCCCCCACCACTCACTGAATGCCCCCACCACTCACTGAATGCCCCCACCACTCACTGAATGCCCCCACCACTCACTGAATGCCCCCACCACTCACTGAATGCCCCCACCACTCACTGAATGCCCCCACCACTCACTGAATGCCCCCACCACTCACTGAATGCCCCCACCACTCACTGAATGCCCCCACCACTCACTGAATGCCCCCACCACTCACTGAATGCCCCCACCACTCACTGAATGCCCCCACCACTCACTGAATGCCCCCACCACTCACTGAATGCCCCCACCACTCACTGAATGCCCCCACCACTCACTGAATGCCCCCACCACTCACTGAATGCCCCCACCACTCACTGAATGCCCCCACCACTCACTGAATGCCCCCACCACTCACTGAATGCCCCCACCACTCACTGAATGCCCCCACCACTCACTGAATGCCCCCACCACTCACTGAATGCCCCCACCACTCACTGAATGCCCCCACCACTCACTGAATGCCCCCCCCACTCACTGAATGCCCCCACCACTCACTGAATGCCCCCACCACTCACTGAATGCCCCCACCACTCACTGAATGCCCCCACCACTCACTGAATGCCCCCACCACTCACTGAATGCCCCCACCACTCACTGAATGCCCCCACCACTCACTGAATGCCCCCACCACTCACTGAATGCCCCCACCACTCACTGAATGCCCCCACCACTCACTGAATGCCCCCACCACTCACTGAATGCCCCCACCACTCACTGAATGCCCCCACCACTCACTGAATGCCCCCACCACTCACTGAATGCCCCCACCACTCACTGAATGCCCCCACCACTCACTGAATGCCCCCACCACTCACTGAATGCCCCCACCACTCACTGAATGCCCCCATCACTCACTGAATGCCCCCACCACTCACTGAATGCCCCCACCACTCACTGAATGCCCCCACCACTCACTGAATGCCCCCACCACTCACTGAATGCCCCCACCACTCACTGAATGCCCCCACCACTCACTGAATGCCCCCACCACTCACTGAATGCCCCCACCACCCACTGAATGCCCCCACCACTCACTGAATGCCCCCACCACTCACTGAATGCCCCCACCACTCACTGAATGCCGCTGCCAGAGTCACAGATGTCCTCCTGGCAGTGCGAAGGGGAGCCGTTGATTCCGTTGCTGGCGATGCCCCCCCGGTCGATGTAATTCACCATGTTGATGGCGCAGAAGAGAAGAAGGAGGCTGGGAGAATGGGGTAGGGGAAGAAAGGACGGGAAAGGTATACTTGACCCTCGTGCTGCTGGCAATGGCACCCGGGAAGAGGAGGCTGGGGGGAAGGAGCGAGGATCAGAAGAAACAGGAATGAGTGAGCGAACCAGTTGGTAGCCATGGCACCTCGGTCGATGTGGTTGACCATGGTGATGGCGCAGAAGAGGAGGAGGAGGCTGGGGACGGGGCCACAAGGGAGAATGAGAGTGCCATTCACCAGTGTATTGCTGGCAATGCCCCCCCGGTCGATGTAATTCACCATGTTGATGGCGCAGAAGAGAAGCAAGAGGCTGGGGGAATGTGGGAGGGGAAGAAGGGACGGGAGGAGAAGGCAGGATGGGAATGATATACTTGACCCTCGTGCTGCTGTTGAAGGGACTCCGGTCAATCTAGTTCACCATGTTGATAGCGCAGAAGAGAAGTAAGAGGCTGGGGGGGGGGAGGAGAAAGGACGGAAATGGGGGTATGAGTGTGGAGGGTGAGAGGGTTATTGGCCCTCGTGCTGCTCGCGATGGCCCCTCGGTCAATTCAACTCACCATGTTGATAGCGCAGAAGGGTGGGAGCAGGCTGGAGGGAGAGAGACAACGAAAGGGGGAGATGGGGATAGAAAGAACAACCGCGTCATCAACTCCTTGTGCTGCTGGCGATGGCCCCTCGATCAATGCAGTTCACCATGCTGATGGCGCAGAAGCCTTTTGCGCCATTAGCCTCCGCTCTGAGAGCGGGAGCAGGCTGACGGTATGGGGGAGGAGAGAAGGGAAGGGCAGGGAGGGAAGGGACTTGAGAGCGGCAGTGATAATACAATGATTCTCGTGCTGCTGCAGACAATTTTGACACGTGGAAAGTGGCTATTGGTCCCGCGAGATTGCAATTAGCCGTCTCCTTAACCAGACCAACTGCTCACGTCAGCAGTGCCACTTTATGACGTTTCCGGTGGATTTTGAGAATTCTTAAAAAAAAAAAAAATGTCACTTTTGAGAATTCTCAAAGAATTCAGAAGTTCTAAACCTGAACCACCTCTTGCACCAGCAGCGGCTATTGGTCGCTCGAGAGCCGCACCCACCCCTCACGCCATCAGCGCAGCGGCAAACGCGGGCCGATCGCCGCGTCGACTTTTTAAGCAAGTCAAATATCGGGCCCGCCCCTCGCGCCAGCGGCGCAGCAGCAAACGCGGCGATCGCCGGGACCCACCTCTCCGCGCTGCAGCCACGTGGCCGTTGGCGGCCCTCGGGAGAGGCATGATAAACGCCGTCGTCGCCGCCATCCCCGCCGCTGCTGCTGTCGTCGCCGCGGTCGGCGGCAGGGTGCGGAACGATTGGGTCCGACTCGTCCATTCCCGGCTGGGCTTGGACACTAGCAAAGCGCGTCGCGACTCGGCTCGGCTCGGCTCGGCTCGGCTCAGTTCGACTCGGCTCGGCTCGGTTCGGCTCGGTTCGACTCGGTTCGGCTCGGATCTGTTCGGCGGGCGAGGAGTGACGGGACGGGATTCGCACGGATTCCACTCAAAAGTGTACCTTCTTCGGCAGACTTCTTCTAAAATTTCAATTAATTTCGACGAGGGAGAAGGCCGGGTGACGCGTCGGGGACAGCCGCTAAGGGAGCGCGCGCTGACGATGAACGGCTGAGATCGTCGGTGGTGTGAGGAGTCTCAGTGAAAACCGTCGATGCACCTTTACTGGCAGCAGAGGGAGCGTCTAGGCGAGCGGCAATAGCGGCAAACTTGGGAGTGGCAGTCACGTGCCGCGTCGATGTGTGTCAGGTTCAGTGTGAATCACACTCGATAGGAAGAAAAATCGATTGTTAGACAAATGGCTTCCAGCACTACACCAAGTAAAGAGCCAATTGCTCAGCTCGATCCTAGATCCCTTCCCCTTCCCCCGGGGCATGCCCCTACCTGCGTTCCCTACGTCGAGGGGCGGCAGCGCGCCGCTCTTCACTCCTCCGAGTTCCCTCCGACGGAGGCTCCCCTGCAGACTCTTCACATGGACGTGTGGGGCCCAGCCCGCGTCCGTGGACAGGGTCACGAGCGCTACTTTCTGCTGGTCGTTGACGACTACTCGCGTTACACCACAGTCTTCCCCTTGCGCCGCAAGGGTGAGGTCCCTGAGGTGCTGATCGACTGGATCCACGCTGCCCGTCGTCAGCTCAGCGAGAGTTTCGGCTCGGACCTTCCTGTTCTGCGTCTGCACTCCGACGGAGGTAGAGAGTTTTCCTCCGACCTTCTGCGAGCATTCTGTCGTGCGGAGGGCATCCGCCAGACGTTCACGCTTCCGGCCTCTCCACAGCAAAATGGGATTGCTGAGCGCCGCATTGGCATGGTCATGGACGTCGCTCGTACGTCCATGATCCATGCGGCTGCTCCCCATTTTCTGTGGCCGTTCGCGGTTCAGTACGCGGCACATCAGGTCAACCTCCAGCCCCGGGTCTCCGTGCCGGAGACCTCCCCTGCTCTGCGGTGGACGGGGAAGGTTGGCGATGCGTCTGCATTCCGTGTCTGGGGATCTCGAGCTTTCGTCCGCGACTTGTCTGCGGACAAGCTGTCCTCCCGGGCTGTTCCCTGCGTCTTCCTTGGCTTCCCCCCTGACGCGCCTGGTTGGCAGTTTTACCACCCCACCTCGCGCCGTGTTCTGTCCTCCCAGGACGTCACGTTTGACGAGTCGGTTCCCTACTACCGTCTCTTCCCCTACCGCACTGCCCCCCTCCCCCCGCCGCCGCTCTTCCTCGCGCCAGGTCCTCCCTCGGTAGACCCCCTCCCTCCTCAGGGTCCTGCTCCCTCAGGTGTGTCCCAGGTAGACGCAGTCGAGCCTGTCGAGGTAGCTGTTGACTCTGGTGCTGCTAGGGGTGCTGAGCCTGCGGGTGCCGGGTCTGGGGGTGCTGAGCCTAAGCGTGTGGAGCCTGGGGGTGCTGAGTCTGGGGGTGCTGGGCCTGGGGTTGCTGAGTCTGGGGGTGCTGAGCCTGGGGTTGCTGAGCCTGGGGGTGCTGAGCCTGGGGTTGCTGTGCCTGGGGTTGCTGAGTCTGGGGGTGCGGAGCCTGAGGGTGCTGAGCCTGCGCATGTGGAGTCTGGAGGCACTTTGCCGGGCGGTCCTTCGGGTGCTTCGTCTCGTCGGGAGCCGCTCTCTCCCCAGCAGCTGCGGGAGTGGTTTGCTCGGCGCTGGAGCCGTGCTGCTGGAGCTGGTGGTGCTCCGGGCGCTGGAGGTCCTGCTGCTGCTGGAGCTGCTGGGGCTTTTGGAGCCACTGGTCCCGGAGGTGCTCGTACTGGAGGTACTGGAGCTGCTCGGCCTGGTGGTGCCGCTGGTGTTGGAGCTGCTGGAGGTGCTGCTGGGCCTGGTGGTGCTGCTGGAGCTGCTGGTGGTGCTGCTGGAGCTGCTGGTGCTGCTGGAGCTGCTGGTGGTGCTGCTGGAGTTGGAGCTGGCGCTGGGGGTGCTGGTGCTGTTCCTGCTGATTCTGGGGATGCTGAGCGGCCGCAGCCGTACTTCGTTCCGCTCCTTGAGCAGGTTCTTGGTCTCCCGCATTCTGCTAGTCCTGCCCCTTCCTTAGAGTGTCCACCGCCTGTCCCATTGCAGTCATAGCTACAGCCCGCCTCTCCACTGCCTCCTCCTTCTCCTTACACTGGTCCGACCGGAGGCCTTCCTGGGCGTCGTGAGTCTGCGTCTCGTCCTGCGTCGCCTGTTCGTGCTGCTCGCACTAGTGGTCGTGGTTCGCGTCAGCGTCCTCCTCCTGTCCCTGGCACGCACCGGATGGCTCTGTGCCCTTCCACTGCTGTGCAGCGTGTCCCTCTGCCGTCTCCTCCTGAGTCCTCTCTTCCTGCCCTTGCTGACCCGGAGTCTGACTCTCTTCGTGCTGCTAGTCCTACTGCCACGCGTCTCCTTGCCACGGTTGTCACTGACCCTTCCTTTGAGTCTGCTGCTGCGTCTGCTCTTGTTACTGAGCTTGTCAACTTTGCTGCTCGCTGTCGTCTAGACTACGCTGCTAGTCTTGTTGCTGAGTCTGAGTCTGACTGTCCTCCGTCCGTCGGGGATGAGTGTGCCCTTGGCACGGACGTCCTTGAGGTTAGGCAAGAGGAGTTCCAGTGTTTTGCTGCTGCTTTACCTCATCTCGTGTCCATGCTGCTTGCCCCTACGAGAGACCCGGATGCACTAGACATCTCGACTCCGCGCTCTTATGCAGAGGCGGTTGAGGGTCCCTACTCTTCTTAGTGGCAGACAGCCATGCACGCAGATATGGCTTCCTGGAAGTCCACAGGCACCTACGTCGACGAGGTTCCCCCACCTGACTCAATCACACATGGTGCAGCATGTCCTTCAGCGCTTCGACTTCCAGTACTCCTCGCCATAGTCCACTCCTCTGCTTACCGGTCACTCGCTCTCAGCTCTGCCTTCGGATGAGTCTGTAGAGCCGAGTGGCCCGTATCCAGAGCTTGTGGGCTTCCTCATGTACCTGATGACATTCACTCGTCCTGACCTTGCTTACCCTCTTAGCATCCTGGCACGCTACGTTGCGCCCGGGAGACACCGACCAGAGAACTGGAAGGCAGCTAAGAGGGTGATGCGCTACTTGTGCAGTACGTCGGGCATGGGGCTCGTGCTTGGGGGACGGGGTCCAGTTGTTCTCACTGGTCACGCAGACGCTTCTTGGGTTGACGACTTGGCTACGCAGCGGTCGTCACAGGGTGACACCTTCAGCCTTGGCTCCGGTTCTGTCTCGTGGCGGTCTACCCGATCGTCTTCTGTTCTCAGCTACAGCTGTGAGGTTGAGATCTACGCAGGGGCCATGGCTGCACAGGAGCTACGCTGGCTCACCTACTTGCTGACCGACCTGGGCGAGACGCCTCGTTGTCCTCCAGTTCTGTACGTCGACAACAAGGCAATGTTTGCCTTGTGTCGCGAGCAGATACTAGAGCACAGAACGAAGCACATCGCTCTTCGCTACTTCCTTGCTCGAGAGTTGCAGCAGCGTGGTCAGCTTCGTCTTGTCTACGTGGCCTCTCAGGCCAACACTGCTGATATCTTCACCAAGGCACTTCAGCCTTGTGATCATGAGCGGTTCTGCACTGTTTTAGGTCTTGTTCCCACATTGCCTCACTTGCTCACTTCTTGACTTTACTTGTACTGTGATCTCTATATATACCTGCCTGTTTACACTTGCTAGGTTGTGATCACTGTCTTGTTTGTTCACCTTGATTTATAATCCTGCATGTGAACTGGCCTTTTGGTCGCTTGCTTGTGCTCGGAATGTGTGGTGACGTCGTCATCCACCCTGAGCTTGCTTTGCTCTTCTTGACTGGTCTTGTGACCTCTTGTTCTCCCCCACTTTGCCTATGGGGGTGTGTCAAACTTATATGCTGTAGTCTTTGTAGGCTATAGTGGGGTAGATAATATGGGGTAAAACACTTTAGGTTTGCTACTTGTACCCACCTGTTTCCTAGTCATTCTCATTCCTCGTACAATTTTCACAGCATGGGCTGGAAAATGGTTAAAAATAAAACCACGCTAAGTTCTAGTTTTCTCTTTCGCACGCGGGAGCTGGATTGCAAGTCGGGGAGGTGTTCCTTAGACTGTTTCGCGGATTTTGTCATTCACGTAGACGATTTCACGCGGGTGAACTCATTCTTTGTAGCGATAAATGTTATCAGGGATTCTCATTCGCGTGAGGAAATTTCCCAAGCCTGTGGGTTTCCCATTTTTCCCAAGTTTCGTGGGGTGCGCGGAATGCTGTGCCAGAAGGTGAAATTCTCAGATACGAAATGTATTTCGCGGTGATGCATGCACGCAACGTCTTGACGAAATAGCTACTCGCCCTCGTCAACGGTCGTTAAGCGTCAGATCTTCTTTCGCACATCTTTCGCGGAAATTGATAGCCATAGGATCGGCTTAAAATGAGTCTGCGACTGCATTTCGTAACTGTCTGCGTCATCACGACCCTGAATTTTGTCGTCGACCACTGATGCTCCGACACTTCAGATTTTCACGACATTTCATATTGTGACACGTGTTGTGTGAATGTGGAAATAGAGCTCCCCTCGAGTTCCGCGCAACACGTGGTCCAATGGAACGAATTGTAACCCGGATGAAACCTAGGCTGCTGTCGGCTCGAAGGAACTTCGGAGCTCCCAAGGGCCACCTTCGGACCAGGAGGGACTTCGGAGCGGGTGGCCCGCGTGGCCGTCTGACGTCACTTTTCCCGCCCGCTCGCGTGTGTAATCATGCGCGGATGACGTCATTTCTTCACTGCTCGTATGTATTGTCCACAGTTGGTACTCGAGGAAAACGTGCCTAGGCATCGAATCGACATGCTCAGCCTAGGTAGGAACACGTTTGATAAAAGGTGACTCATC